CCTGCAGCTGCCAGTGGGCACCTGAGATCCCTAACCCTGCTGCTGACAGTGGGCACCTGAGATCCCTAGCCCTGCAGCTGCCAGTGGGCACCTGAGATCCCTAACCCTGCTGCTGCCAGTGGGCACCTGAGATCCCTAACCCTGCTGCTGCCAGTGGGCACCTGAGATCCCTAACCCTGCTGCTGACAGTGGGCACTTGAGATCCCTAACCCTGCTGCTGCCAGTTAGCACCTGAGATCCCTAACCCTGCTGCTGACAGTGGGCACCTGAGATCCCTAACCCTGCTGCTGCCAGTTAGCACCTGAGATCCCTAACCCTGCTGCTGCCAGTGGGCACCTGAGATCCCTAACCCTGCTGCTGCCAGTTAGCACCTGAGATCCCTAACCCTGCTGCTGACAGTGGGCACCTGAGATCCCTTACCTTACTGCTGCCAGTGGGCACCTGAGATCCCTAACCCTGCTGCTGACAGTGAGCACCTGAGATCCCTAACCCTGCTGCTGACAGTGGGCACCTGAGATCCCTAACCCTGCTGCTGCCAGTGGGCACCTGAGATCCCTAACCCTGCTGCTGCCAGTGGGCACCTGAGATCCCTAACCCTGCTGCTGCCAGTGGGCACCTGAGATCCCTAACCCTGCTGCTGACAGTGAGCACCTGAGATCCCTAACCCTGCTGCTGCCAGTGGGCACCTGAGATCCCTAACCCTGCTGCTGACAGTGAGCACCTGAGATCCCTAACCCTGCTGCTGCCAGTGGGCACCTGAGATCCCTAACCCTGCTGCTGACAGTGAGCACCTGAGATCCCTAACCCTGCTGCTGACAGTGAGCACCTGAGATCCCTAACCTGCTGTGTCAACACTTGCTACTCCTAAGTCACTGCTCTTCAAGTGTTCACTCTCCTTAGCCGTATGACACAATGGTTGTGTCACCAGACACCAGAATGTCCTCCAAGCAGGAGATGGGGACCTTAACTTACCCTACCCATACAGCAGGTTGTAGGTTTGCTACTTCCATCACAGAAAATAATTTTCAAGCCACTTCAGTGAGACACCAAAAGGAATTTATCAGGCAGAATTGAAAAAGTACACACTCAGAGAAAAGAAGAGAGGCCCTGCAAGAGAGGCACATTATGGTCTGAAGCTGGGGATATTTATGTGGCCTGGGGTGTCTTCAAGGTGATGATAGCGTGACTATAGGGTCACAACCCTGGCAGGCTATTTCAGAATGCAAAGCATTTATGTGTATGTGATCTGCGGTTCTGAGGACTAAACCCAGAGCCTTTGCACTGACCCATACCCCTGGTCGTTTGTGAGTCAGGGTCTTGTTAAACTGCCCCAGACTGGGCTCAGACGTGCAGTCCTCCTACTCAGTGTCCCAGAGTGCTGGGTCTACCAGCTCATTTACACGTGTCTGAAGTTAAACACGCTGCCTACTCACTGCAGCTTCTGAGGGTAGAGGTCTGCAGAAGAAGTGATTTTTAGGTGAACAGCACAGGGCCAGAGCCCAATTCATGGATTTACTGTGTCTTTAAGTGCCCGAAGATTGTTTTTGGCAGAGGAGGGGAGAGAGGGTCTTGAAAGGGAAAAGGGTTTGAGTAACTTTTGTGTCCTGAAGTTGCAGTTTTTCTGAAAAGTACAGTCTCACGATTACGATTTTCCTTGGCTCCTTTCTACCTATGATTTACTGTTTTCTAGCCTACCTCAGTTGGTTTCAACGACCACTCAATTCTCAGTTAAAAAAAATCCTGGCTCTGATGCCACCAATCAGGGTAACTGATCTCTTTCAGAGGATTGCCAAAGAGGAAGAACAGAAAGTGGCCCTCCAGCTCCATCTGCCTGCACCGCAAATCATTCTGTCATGGCAGTAAGCACAAATCCACTTACGGGCTTCCTGCCAGGAAAAATGAAAAGGCATTCAAAGTTCACACACAAGAGCAGCATGAGTTCCCATTAGCAGAAGCTTTTCAGAACCTTCAATCCAGAATCTTCTCACCCAGCACCCTTTGTTCTGGGCAGGATTTCATAGCTTCTCTAAACTCCCAAACACCCAGTCGCTTAAAAACAGCTTTGGAGTAGCTTGGCCAGGGCTGAGCAATTAGGCATTCATGATGCCTGCCATCAAGTGGTCATTAGTTTAATGGAGAACTATTAAAAGCACATAAAAATCTCAACCAATGAAAATAAACCAAGCTGTCAACGCTGACGTCTTAAGTGTGGAACAGGGCTTGCACGGAATGTGAATGATGCTCCTCTCACACACACTTAGAAACACAGAGGTGCGCCCTCCGCCAGGGAGGCCAGGCCTTAACTGACTTTAATCCTGGAAGTGCTCATAGTACATTGTGGCCACACACAATACTGATTCCAGAAAGTGGCTTTAGATTCTGACTAGGCAAAAAAAAAAAAAAAAAAAAAAGGTGTGCAATTTATGAAAACCAGCGGAAAGGTGTTCTCTGGACACGTATTTTCTGGATTCTCTCGATTTTGGCAATTCTCCCTTGAAATAGGCAGGTGAAAGCCACAACGCCAATTCCATTCTTAGGTGCACTCCAATAAGAAGTGGCTTTTTGCTGAGAAAGAGATGACTTGAAAGTGAGTGAGATGGGGCATTCAGATTGAGGACTCTTTTCCTTTTTCCTTCCTTTTTTTGGGAGATTTTTGGAAGATGTCAGCTACAGCAGCTTGGGTTGCCTGGAGAGAAGCTTCGGGAAGGTGCTATAGCACGGCTGCTTGCTGGCTGTTTCCCACGGCAAGGACCAAGACTGCATCTTTCAAAGCCAGATATGGTGGCACGTGCCTGTCATCCCATTACTCAGGAGGCTGAAGTAGGAAGACTGCCAAGAGTTTGAGGCTATCTACTGAGTTCAGGGTTAGACTAAACTATTATAGATCACTAAGTTAGACAGAAATATTATAGGCAGGGCTGGAAATTTGGCTCAGTGGCACAGTGCCTGCCTGGCATGCACGAGGTCCTCAGCTACACTCCCAGTACCAAAAAAAGAAAAATAATATTACAGGTAATTGGCAGGGTAGGCCCTAGAAGTCAGTGTAGAAGGTAACAACACGTTACAGTCATGGCTGGAGGTACACTCACTGAGGGCTAGGCCTCAAGAAAAAGACGAAATGACCAAGCCCACATACTTCCCAGAGGGCTCAACAATAATGCCTGACATTCTAAATAGGCATCAGTCACCTTGGGTGAAGGACCAAGACCTCCCGACCCACCCCTTCCAGGAAAGGTCCTTGTTCTTTCCTTGGACACTTGTTATCTGACTTGCTTCTCCACTGGATCAATATTACCTAAGCACCTGCCATACCTGACAGGTGACCCTCACCAGGACGCACTCTGGAAAACCACAAAAGTACAATAAAGTCACACCCACCTGCATCTCCGGCCCTGTGGGGCATAACCACACTATCTCTGCCTCCAACTTTCTCGCAGCAGCAAGCTCTTCCCCTTCCCTTTAAAGCCTTTGTTCTACCCTCACTTCCTGCTGATTGCTTTCTTGGAACTCAGCTTATGCCCACTGAAGTGAATACACAGTCAGAATTCCTCGCACAAAACCCACTGAGGTGGCCTTCCTCTTCTCTGTACCTTTCACACTTTCATCTTATTTGTTGACCATAGTTTTGTGCCACCTTATGATTTTTACTCTGTTAAACTTCCTTTGGAAAATCGGAACATGGGCAACCCACTTGAAACCCCTCTTGTCTCTCAGAAGCTATACCTTTTCCCCTTAATAAAGACGTCCTACTCTAAATCTCCATTGCTCCTGAAGAGTTCCATCTCAGTTTGGGGGAACATAAACTCTACATTGATACTCTATATTGAACATCTAACAGGTTGGAAGTTACAATATTTCCCTTATATGATTTGGAGGTCTTTATATCAGAACTCCACAGTGAGACATTGTCTCCTGAGTGCCAGGAGTTCCAGCACTCAGAAGGCTTAGATCAGAAGATCACTGAGAGTTCAAGGCCAGGCTGGGCTACACTGAGTTCAAGGACACTGTCTCCAAAACAAAACAAAGGCAGAGTGGGTAAGGCAGAAATGCAGGGGCAGACACATATCCCCTTACCTCTCCTATTGTTACTTAAACTTAGGGAAGGGCACTGATGTTTTGGACTGAGCACCCCATAGACCAGATCAAACCAAAACAGTTTTTCATGGTGAGTACTACTTAATCACACTGAAAATCTCAGGAAGCAGAGATGCCAAACCAGGCCAGGCTTTCCAGAAAACAGGAGATTCCATTCTTCATAAGCTAGCAAGATAATAAAATCCCTTCTGTTTTAAACCTTACAAAAACTAACCTGATGCCAACCAATCAGTGTTTTCCTATTCTGTTTCCTTGCTTTCACATTACTAATCCCTGTGCCTTCTGGGAGCACTAGTCTTGTTCTATAGAAGGCTGGCTGCCCAATCATGAATCATTAATATCCACCAATTGGACCAAGAACTACGTCTGTTGTGATTTTTGTCAAAAACATTCCCTAAAAGCTCATCACTCAAGACTGCCTCCTGAGCCTGCCTTTTTCCCTTTAGAATGCAAAGATTAACTATTTATTCTTAGAAAAACCTCTTGTCAGCAGCAGATTATATTTTCCTTGGCAAAGAACAACAAACCAAACCACCAAACCACAAAAACAGCAGAATTCAGAGGAACAAGTTCCTTCTGCTCAGGATAACATACCTGTGAAAGAGATGACTCAGGGGAAGCATCTGCTCCTGGATAAAACTCCAGGAACACTAAGCGCCAGAGCTGCCACCTACCCAGAGGACAGAGCATCACAATTCTCCCATTGTAGCAAACCATGAATAAGAGAGAAACTCAACACCCAGAAAAGGCAAAACAGGAAAGAGCAAACAAGACTCTCAATTCACAATTCTTCCCTGAAGCCGGTGTTTCGAACAGAAAAGGCCATTCTTCAGGATCAGACTCACAGCCCTAAGTTGGCCTTGCGTAACTCTTCTCCTGAGGCAGAATAACAAGGCGGACTTTACCTTAAGAGCACCACAAAGTTCAACAGTGTCTGCATCATCAACCACAGTAATTCGAAAATTGGGAGTCTGCAGAAGTTCTTTGAAGAGAAGGCCATTCTCCATGACTTTGCTGCCTATTGAAAGGTGAGGAAACAAGGAAATTAGTCTCTAATCCTACCTAACAGTGGTAACATAGTAACCTTTCTCTAACTACGAAAGTAACATGTTTATTGCAAAAATTTAGAACATACTTATGAGGAGAAATAGATGCCCTAGTTCTACTAGAAGATTGTTTATAATTTGACGTATTTATTTATTGCATGACTATCATTTTTAATATAGTTTACTGAATGAATATAGTGGTGGCACAGGCTGTAACCCTCACATTCAGGGAAGCTAAGGTAGGAAGATTGTATGTTCAAGCTCAGCCTGGGCAATTTAGTGACTTAGCACAATCTTTCCTTAAAAGAAAAAAAAAATACACATACACACGTAACATACATAAGTGGGTCTTATAATCTACTTTCTGTTTTCTTAGTTTTGGAAGCTGGAAGTGCAGCCAACCTGTTTTTGCTACTGCTAGAGTGTCCTCCTTGGAGACAGTGTCTGGAATGTGCTGAACGTTCAGTGGTTTTTATATATTTACTATTTTTAAAATATTTCTTTGTTTTGGAGTCTTTGAAAATCAAGCAGAAACAAAAAAGCTTGTATAGAAAACCTGATATAAAATCTGCCCCAGCTGGTGAGCCTGACCAAATCTCCCCCACTAGCTCTGCAGTCTGGACTGTAAGATTTACCAGCCTGGTTCCACTTTGAAATCAATGGCTCCACACAGGAGCGGCAGAAGCACACTGAGGATATTAGCACTGGGCCCTGCCTGCCTTGAGTAGCCTCACAGCAGTTCCCAAGCCTGCCTGCACTTCAGTCACTGGAGGACCTTCAAAGCCACCGCATCCAGCCCACACCTCAGCCCCATTAAATCCCAGTCTCTGGGACAAAGCAGGATCAGTAGTTTTTGAGGCTCCCCAGGTGATTCCAATGGAAAGCCAACTCTGCAAACCTCTGAGTTAGCCTCCTCTAGCTTCAGCTTTCCAGAAGTAAACGTAATGGTCATGAGGAAATACAGTAAAAGACACAGGATAGTTGTGAAATTAAATAAGAATCACACACGGAAAAACAATAACATTCACAGATCTCAAAGACAGCATGGAGTCAGCTGACATTTGTGTGCTTGTGATTCTGACTTTCTACACTTAACAGACAGGGAAAGTAAAGCCCAGAGGGGTTTAGTAACTTTCCAAGGCCACACACCTAGAAAGCTGAACCCACGTTTTAACCCACGTGCAGCTCCTGTTCCAGGGGCCAAGCTCTGACTCTGTGCTAGGCCACCTCTTGGTTGTGGGAGGAAACAAGAGAGCACAAAGATCACAGAGACATGCAGATGGACACTTCTAATGGCGGTTTGCTCCGCAGCACACACAGAAAAAAGTCAGCTCAGGGGAGATGAAGCATAGATGAAACAAGCCTGGCCAAGGGCGAACCATTTCAATGATGGATAAACAAGGTCTGTGACCCCATGCTAACTCCTTTGGTTCTCTGAAATGTTCCATAATAGCATGTTTAAAATACTGATGACCAACAAGCAGAAACTCATTTTCTGTTCTACAGGACATTACTGTTGTTTTATTCAGCTGAGTTCTCCTTTTCCAGCTATTGGAATGGTGTCCACTTGAGCAACCTGCCCTCTTACTGTTTTGTCTAGGTGATTCTACACAATGCTGTTTCTCACCGGGTAAGTAACCCCGTCCCAGCCCCACAGCACCTTCCCTCCTCCTGGGTCCCTCCTGTCCCTCACTATAGGCCCAACACTACTTGAGCCTGCTGGGGGGCACCCCCCAGTCACTGCCTGCACTGTCTGCAGCTGGTGCTCATGTTGCTCAGTGAGCTTCCTGAGGAAGTATGCTCAGAGTCTATAAGATAGGAGAGGCAGGGTCAGGCTCCTCCCCATCAGACAGCTAGGTTCCTGACAAGCTGACATTTTGTCAAGTGTACATTTTGAGAGTTATTATTTTGGTGGTTTTTGTTTCTTTATAGGTTTTGTTGTTGTTAAGATGGATCTTGCAGTGTAACCCAGGTTGGCCTTGAACTCAGGATTTTTCTCTTGTCTCAGCCTCCTGAGTGCTAAGATTACATGCATGCAACACCACAAGAATTGTTATTTTAAATCATAGATAAGAAAGCACTAATAGGGGTGGGGATTTAGCTCAGCAGTCTAAGTGCCTGCCTTGCAAGCAGGTGGTCATGAGTTAGATCCCTGGTACCAATTTAAAAAAAAAAAAAAGCACTAATAGTATTATTACTAGCAGTCATAGACAATGATGTGACAGGCATGAACCCAGACCATGTATACAAGCATAGATAGTGCCCCAGAGCCATGGGGAAGGGCTGCTCCAACCTTAACGTGAACCAAAGGACAGGAAAATCCCATCTGTCATGCCAACCTTCTAGTGATCAACCTAGTAATTCAACTTCCAAAACCTCATTTCAGTCTCTGATTCTATATTTGTTTGCAGAGACACTCCACAAGGAGCTTATATATCCTAGATGTCCTAGTTACTTTTCTGAATGCTGAGACAAAATACTCAATACCCTAAGTTATGGGAGAAAAAGTTTATTTGGTTCACAGTTTGTAGAGGTTTCAGTCCATAGTTGGTTAGTTTGAAGGCAGGGTGGATGGCAGATAGGCACTTCATAAGCAGAAGCAGTTCATGGAGGCAGAAGACAACAAAAGCAACAAGCAAGGGGCCTTAACAGCATCTTTCTGCCCTATTTATGTTATCCAGACTACTTGGGACAATTAGCACTCACACATTTAATTCTAGTGTCCTTAAGCCTAGCATTATACATGAATTAATCCCAGCAACACATGCTTTAGATCCAGGTACCTCCGAAAAAGCCTCACCTCATGAGGCTGCTGGGGGACATTTAATCAAAAGCCTAACACTAGACATTTAGTGCTGTGCCTTATACATAACAGTCTTTGAAAAGTATTTGTAGAATAATTCAGATTCAGTGGTAAACCCCACATGAAGGGAGATCTCACCACAAGGGGGCACCATTGTTTACCATGATGCTAATTCCAAAATACTCAAAATCATGTTTGGTTTGGTTTGGTTTAGTTGTTGGTTGTGTTGCTATGACCTAGGGGTTGATCCCAAGAGCACTGAACTACATCCTCAGCCTTTTATATTTTTTATTTTTAGACAAGGTCTTACCACTGCCCAGGCTGGACTAGAACTTTCCAATTCTCCTGCCTCAGCTGCCAGAGTGCTGGGATTAAAGGTATGGTTTCTTGTAGGAAAGTTTCCAGGTGGGTCGTTTAGGAAAACATAAATGGACCAAGATTTCTGAATCTATCATAATTAAAAGTTAGCTGGTCCTTAGTCATCAAGAAAGATCTGGAAACCAGAGTAATTATCAAATGCAGGATGGTCTGTGTTGCTGATTTTATTATCTAACACACAGTCCACAGTCAAGGCTCACCAGCCACCCCAATGCTGTCTCTCACAGCCCCTCTCTCTCCCCAGCTAGGACCCAGCCCGGCATCCTGTACAACAGTTAGTGGCCAGGTCTCCCTTGCCATCTTTAATCCGGGACGCTCGCTACCCTCTCAGTGTCTTCACATCACTGACATTTTGAAGAGTATGGGCCAGCAGTTGTGTGACATCTCTTTTACTCTGGACTTGTCTGGAATTTCCTCCAACGCTTTGCTTAATTTAATACAGGTCATCAGTGCCAACTGCAGTCCAACCCACAGAGAGGACAGGGAAGTACTGGAGACACAAGCCAGAGGGCAATACAACCTCCAGGTAGTTGTGGGTCTTTGCAAACCAAAAAGCTTGACCCAGCCAGCTGGGAGCTTTCTACAACAGATGGAGCTAGAGCAGGTAAGCATGCTAGCCAAAATCTGTGGGCAGGCATAAGGTTTAAATCAGAGGTTGGAGATTAGTTTCCATCTTAAAAACAATTAAATAATAGGATTGAGTTCAAACTACATGTTACTCTTTTTGGAAAAAACATTTCACAGGTTCTATCAAAACCATAGATAGATCAAAACATTAGTCACAGAAGAACAAAACATATATAGTAAATAGGTATATTATTATCATGCACAAATATAATTAAGTAATTTTCTGGAAGGATATTTAGAAACTGCTAAAAATTTCCCTGGAAAAAGGAATCAGATCAGAAACTATAATCTTAACTCTAATTTTCTACCTTAGCATACTGTCTTGATTTTTGTTTTCCTTCTGTCTGTATCATCTCCGTAAACATCAAGTTTGGCAGCTAAATGGGTCATTCTTGGTTATTTCCTAATGGGCTCAGAAAATGAGCCCAAACTATACCACTTATAGTTTAAAATTAAGAGCTCCTGGAAAGGAATAACTGCAAGACTTCCACTGAGTTTTCCTCTATCTAAAGACCCAGATGCTTTTAATCTTATTACTAAGTGTCATTGACCGAGGAAGATTAAATTCAGCCCATGAAAGAAGAGACGAAAATCAAACATCATACCGGGAGCCCAGAGCCCCTCTGCTCATTCTCTCACCTAAAAATCATGACCCTTTTTCTAAACTTAGCAGAACTCTACTTCACTCCTCTAGGAAGAGGGAAGTGAGCCTCAGCCATCTTGCACTTCTGTGAGTTTCACATGTTCATATTTAGTCAGTTCAAACACAATTATATGTATGTATATTGATCTACTGCCAGTTTGTCTCAGCAGATCAATTATCAAGACTTCAGAGGAAAAGCATGCACTTCCCTATACTTCTTTACATTGTTTAGATACCTCTACTCTCCAAAAAATAGTTCACACACACACACATACACACACAAACATTCAAAGAGGTTTTGCAGGGTTTGATGGTTCATGTCGGCAATTTCAGTACTTTGGATGCTCAGACAGCAGGACTAACACAAGTTAGAGGTCAGCCTGAGCTACATAGTGAGTTCAAGGCCAGCCTGGACTACACAGCAAGACTCTGTCCCAGAAAAACAAAACAAAAAGTTGTAAGCATTCAAATTATGAAACTGTTGATGGTATATACGCAGTGATGAAAATATGTTAGTAGGCTATAAAAATTGCTACATATTAAGTGAAAAAAAGCAATCACAAGGCAGCATGTGACTAACAATAAGCAGTTAGCACTAACAGAAGGAGCTAGGTATGGTGGGATAACCTGTAATCCCAGTAGTCAAGAGGCTGAGACAGGAAGATTGTGAGTTCAAGGCCAACTCACAATCTATATTGTGGGTGGGTGTCTACCCTGGGCTACATAATGAGATTGTCAGAAAGAAAGAAAAAGGGGGCAGGGTTGTAACAATATTATTTTGCCAGCAATGCATCTTTTAATGTGGTCCACAGGCACTTGAGACTCACAAACCCCTTTTTAAAGAAATGAGAATTTTCACATCACAGTGAGAATAATGTCTCTATCTCACCATGTGTGAGGATAGAAAAACCTCGCTATTCCGGAATTAGGAGACTCCAAACACATGCCTGGGCTCTCTATTAGTGGGTGACCTTGGATCAGGAAACTTATTCTTTGAGCCTTGGTTTATTTTCCCCAAAACCAAGCCCCTTTCCCACATTTTTTTTTTCTTTTGGTACTGAGTATGGAACCCAGAGTCTTCCCACTGATCCACATCCCCCAATCTCTTTGACACAGAGTTTCACTAAGTCACTAAGTTGTGCTTGAACTTGCAAGTCTCCTGCCTCAGCCTGCCAGAGTGCTAGAACTACAGATGCATGCCCCTATTCCTGGCTGCCACTAGTTCTTTAAGTTCCCCTTGGAATTAATGAGGACCCAACACTGATACTGCCAAGATCATGAAGTCCCCATGTTGCTCCCCAAGGTCATGCCCCTCCTCCCAGACTGAACTTCGATACCAAATGCTGTGGGCATTGTCACTCCTTCACTGTTCTTCATTGCTTCATTGCTTACCAGTAAAGAAAAGCTGGCTTTAGGTAACGACTTCCACCATGAGTGCAGCCACTTGCTTCTTGGTATAAGCAACCTTATTAGTCTGTGTCTAACTTTTTTTTTTAATCATCAGATGGTCTCCTGGACTTTACATTCATTCTGGAGACTGATGAAACACATCAGTTCCACCAAATGGCCTCCTCACATAAAATCCAAAATAGGGATGTTGAGAGGGGCAGAGAAGAGCCCGTTAGAGACATCTGAAGTGGAAATGCATGCACTCTAGCACCGAATGCCTGCCCCGGAGCCTGCCCCTACCTTACCAATGGTAGTCTCGCAGAACTTGTCTGCAGCGACCTCGCTGGCAATGTTGGCGCCCATCAGCACGCTGATATCAATGCCCATCTTCTCACGGATGATGTCCGAAATGAGTTTCAGTCCCTCTGGGCCCTCATCGATGCCCTAAGGACAGCAAGAAGTTAGGAGGAAGAGACCACACCAAAGAGGCATGACACAATTGCCTTACAAGTCATCTAAATTCAGTTATCCAATGGCAACACAACTTGAAAAGCACTCTTACTTACAAGAGAAAACATATACTGTGTGTGTAACCTGAAAAGAATAATAAAAGGAAAAGCATTTTTAAAAACCCACTATTGAGGTTAAAAAACAGAGTATGATCAATACCAAGGATCAAAGAAGGAGAGGATGAAGGAGGAAGAGGAGGTGGAGGTGGAGGAAGTGGCCGTGGTAGAACAGGGCCAAGATCATGAAGTCCCCATGTTGCTCCCCAAGGTCATGCCCCTCCTCCCAGACTGAACTTCGATACCAAATGCTGTGGGCATTGTCACTCCTTCACTGTTCTTCATTGCTTCACTTCATGTCACTAACTGTCCCTGAACTATGTCATGTCATTAGCCTACCGACACAACAGCACTATTCATCTGTGATGTGCCGTTTTGTGCCACCTTATATTCTAGAGGTACACTCATGTGGCTACATACACTTTCTAGTTTATTTCTGTCCACTGTTAGAGTTTTCCAATATGAAGTCAGTTCACCCTGCACTGACCCACTCTGATGCTGGCTGACATCTGGGTTGTTCTGCATTGTTTTCACAAACATTCAACCATGACCACTCTGGAATAGCCTCTCTAGGGTGTCCACAGGCCTTGTTTACGACATACACTCCATCCCTAGAAATGCAGTGAAGTTTATGGGCTCCCTTTCAGAATTTATGCAAATAAAACAAAATGCATAATATTATATAGAGAGCCAATTATATTTTAATAGTTATCAAAATGTTAAGCATCCCAATGGGGTGATAATGTAATATACACAGTTTTATTCATGCACTTACAAACTAATATTCATGGCATATCTAAAGATTACTGTAATTTCCAAGCACTAATGAACATGAATGGCTCGTGAGTGATCTGAAACCACAGGAACATGATATGAAAGTTCCTGTGACTGCAACTGTCAAAGAAAGGGTCGCAGATCCTGCCAATATTACTGTTAAAGAAACTCTGGCTACGACTAACATTCAAAAATGAAAGGAATGTCCATTTCAGTTAGAGGTTAAGAGGAATAAAAATGTAAAGATCATCCCTCTCCTCAACAATTAAGTGCATGAAACCCTGGAGGTGGTTTGGGGACTTGTGGTTTTAAAAAAGCCCACACTTGAACGTATACACCCAAGGGTGGAAATTAACGGTATTTCACTTCCCAGCTGATACAAACCACTGGTAATTTCCAGACATAGGTTGAGCCACAGTGAGTGGGACACAGTGACCTGACAGCAGCTCATCAGCAAACCTCCCCATATCACTGGGACGTTGGCCTGCTGCAACAGGAAACAGTCTGGCTTCTAAACTGACCTAAATTGGACCTGTGGGATTTTCTTCTTTTACTTCTTTCTAAGCATTTAAAAAAAAAACACAAACAAAATAGCTGGCTGTGGTGGTACATTCCTGTAATCCCAGCACTTTGGGAGGCTGAGGAAGATCACAAATTCAAACCCAGTCTGGGCAACATAGCAAAATCCTATCTCAAAATAAATAAATATAAAGGACTGGGGATGTGGCCCCACTATAAATGCTCCAGGGTTGATCCCTAGTATTAGGGAGGAAAAAATACCCACAAACAGGAAGCTGCCACCACCTCCTCCTTGGTGCCGTGTATCAAACTGATCAAAGACAGGGAATGCAATTTGCTGGTCATCAGTGTCCAGTGAGGTAGGTCATGCCCGTTCGGCACACCAGGTACCTTGATGAGGGTGATCCCCAGCGCCTTCTTGGGCACCCTGCCGGTGATCTCATCGCAGATCCGGTGAATGAACTGATGGGGGATGACGAACACCAGCAGGTCTGCATCCTGCACAGCCTCGCTGAGGTTAGAGACCGCAACCTGAAACCAGGGGAGGAGAAAAATTACTCCTGTATCTGCAGGAAGTTATTTCATTCCCTCTTGCATTATTAGACCAGAAGATGCTGTAATCGACTGCCCTCTCCTAGCACCTCCTCTCTAAGAAAAAACCCTCTAAATTTATTTTCAAAAGTTATCACTTACACTTAACCATGCAATTTGGGTCTCATTCCAGAGATGGTCCTTAATTTGTTCAAATCAATGGGCTCATCAAACAAAGAGAGCCTTCATGAGGAAGCCAGCAAATGCTTCCTGGGGCTTCTGGGTATTGAGGTTTTCTTCCTCTTCTGCAGTGGCTCTGGCTCTTTTTGTGAATAGTGTGGGATGATGGTGTGGAGTCTGGAGCTACTGTACCCTCTTTAGAAATGTGCAGGGAGAACTTATGCCAAGAGGCTCCTTGTGGATGAAGCCAACATCATGGAAAGCAGAGAGAAGAGCAGGGACTTGTCAACATCATTTAAGCCAACGCACCTGAAACCAGCCCTACCTGGATTTCTTAATTACATGAACCCAAACCAGCTTAAGCTGGTTTGAACAACATAAACAGTCATTCTACACACTGAAGATCACAAATCAAAGCCTGGCATTTCCCTCTCTTTATTTCCAAATTCCCAAGATAGGGAAAGCCTGGTTTCATCTTCAGAGGGTTGGCCAGATTGGTGGTCTAGGCTGTGTAGCCACTGTGAGTAAGTTTATTACCAGTGTTGGGGCTGAGAATACAATATTCCCAGTCTCAGAAGCAAAGTTTCTCTCTGACCTTTTCCTTCTCTTGTCTCACCCCTCCTTTCCCCATGCCCACCCCCAGGGAGCCAGAGAAACTAATTCTTCTTCCTCAAAGCAAGCAAGGCATAGAGGCACACATGGGCAGTCCTAGCTCTTCAGGAGGCTGAGATGGGAGGATCTCTTGCACCTAAGAAGTCAAAATGGCCCACGCAACACAGGAGAGCCTTTCTTTAAAAAAAAAAAAAAAAAAAAGTGCCAGGGATATAGCTCAGTGGTACAGTGCCAGCTGGGCAAGCACACGGTCCTGAGTTTAATTCCTGATAAGCACACTTACTTACACACACACACTAAATAAAGCCAAAAAAGCTTGAAAGTAAATCTCTTTCCCAAGACAAATTATGGGTATTAGACCACCTCTTCCCCGCAAAGCCAGCTATAAGACCTAAATACGTTAACCTAACTGTCCACCCCCTTTCTGTCTCCGACGGCCATAAATAAATTCCCAAACTACTTTTCTGGAAGTATGCCTGTTATAGCTTGTATCCAGATGTCTCTCCAAAGCCTTATGCAGTCATAGGTGAGGTGTTTCAGGGGTGGCTGGATCTGGGGTGTGTGAATATGGATTAAGGGTGCGATACTGGTTTATTCCACTGATTAGTTTATTATAGTTCTGGGTGCGGTTAACAGAGAGCCTTACCCTGGCTGTGGGTGGCACCACCTCAAAGGTTTGTGGCCTGGGTGGAATAAAAGGGAAAGGAGGGCTGCTGCTCGCTACCTCCTGCCTGCCACGCCATCAATTAGCTCTTCTCGGAGATGCCCCCTGCCACGCCACCCTGCCTTGGAGTCAGCTGAGTATGGACTGAAAGTTCTATAAACTGTAAACCAAAATAAACCTGCCCTCTTTTAACTGGATGTCAGGTATTTTACCTCAGCAATGAGAAAAGTAAGACTCCCATTCTAGAAAGTCCTATTCCATGCCAAAAAAAAAGGTGGGCGGGGGGGGATTGCTGCACAGAGAAGCCAAGACGATGCTAAGCTGCCGGCTCTCACACCCTTTCTGTCCAGTTGTATTGTTACACGGCTGTCCACGCCTCACTGAACCTAAGCAGGAAAATGGAGAGCTTAACTTCAAAATCATGTAGGCTGAAGACTAAATAAATCTGTTATGCTTTTCTCTTGTCAATCTGTCTGTCGTTGTGAGGGTGTTGGCCAAGACAGCGTGGGCTGGCAGAAAAGGGATCACCTTCTGCCTGCTTGTGACAGTTACGCTGTACTGTCCACTTGATTGGCTTGAGAGCCACCTAGGGGATGAGTGATGTACCCTGTGGGTGCATCCGTGGGAGTGTGACCTTGGGCACTACACTGTGTCTGGTTCCTGGCCCTTTCCATTCAGGCACTGATCCCGTGCTCCGCTCTCTGCCTCCATAAACTGAACAGCTTTGCTCCAATCTGCCCTTCTGCCACCACGCTCCTGGAAGGCATCTGACCCTGGAGTGAACCTCTAAAACTATGAGCCAAAAAATCTCTCCTCCTCTAAATGGTGGGTGCTGGGTATTCTGTCTGGCAAGCTGACCAGTACGCTGCCCCCTACCAACAGTACACTTCTCTTTTTTAATCCTTTGGAGCCTGGAATTTCTATCCTACCACAAAGCAGTTTCTCATTTTTTTCCATTAACCTCTGCCTGGCCCTCACTGGCCAAGCTCACTGTACTTTCATTCTTGCCTGTGGTCCCCCTCACCCAGTGGCCTGCGTAAGGACTGATCCCTCATCTCCCCGTGGTTACTACTGTTTCTTAGGTAAAGGTTTGTGCTCCCTGCTGTGATTCTGCTAGGGAGCCCTGCAACTGAACTGTAATTAAACCTCTCTGTCTCTGGGCTGTTTCTTTTCTCGCGTTCACCCCTAACACACAAACCCACACAGCCCTCCCTTTCCTCCTTTTCAAGACATTTTCTTTTTCTTCGTTTTTTTTTTTTTTTTTTTTTTTTTTTTAACACCATGTACATTTATTAGAAAAGAAAGTTACAGGGGGCTGGGGATTTAGCTCAGCGGCATAAGCGCCTGCCTTGCAAACAGGCAGTCGTGAGTTCGATCCCTGGTACCCATAAAAAGGAAAAAGACAAAAAAAAAAAAAAAAGAAGTTATGAAATATCCTATTTTTCCTTAAGAAGTTAGAAATAAAAGACAATAAAACAAAAAAATAAGAAAGTAATAAAGATCAGAAAACACAATCCCTTATGAAAATACCAACATCATTTTTCATCAAAGTTAACATTTTGATTCTTACATTTCTGTAGAAATACAAAAGACTCTGAATAGTCTAAACACTGTTGATAAAGGAACAAAATTAGAGCTCCAGCCCTTCTTAACTCCTTGGACTTATCACAAAGTTACACCAATCATGACAAAACAGCATTGGTATCAAGATAGACAAACCACCAAGGTACCAATATGAAGTTCCAAAAGAGATACCCACATAACAGACAATTGATTTCTGGCAAAATGATTTCTTTTTTATGCAAAAGCAGTAAGTGGAGAAAGGATTATACCTTCAATAAATGTACTGGAACAACTGGATATCCACATGCAAAAACCCCAAACCTTATAGCACATCCAAAATTTCTTAAGACACCCAAAAGTCAACTCAGAATGGCTCACAGTGGGTTAGTTATAGTAAAGGCGGGTGTGACCCGAGTCCTTGCTTTGGCTAAGGTCACTCTCTCTGGAACAAGGAGTAGAAAGGAAGGCAGAACCTACAGAGGTGTTCAGTGAAGGCAGTGAATTTGCTTCTGAGCAGGCCATGTGACACTATTTTGATAAACGCTGTCCAGGTTCTTCTGAGTTTACAGAACTAAGGTTGTACTTTTATGTCTTTCAAAATATACAGTGTGCTGCTGCTTCTTTTAACTATCTTTACTATTTTTTAATTACACATGTACATATACATGTTTTTTCTTTCAGCTTGTCACACTACTGAATACGATGTTTACATATGCCTATCTTATTTACATATGCATGACTTATTTATTTTACTAATAAGTAAACATTTTCAACATGGTGAAATGGAAATAATATCAGAATTATAAAGAAAAGGTGTAGGTGTGAAGATGTGAGTCCCACACCTACAACTGACCAGCGGTGACTTTGTGTCCCTTTGCAAGGCAGCTTCACTTACCTCAGTCTACATAAAATGAGGATAAGAATCCCCTTTTCGACTTCCGGGAGAACATGGCGGACAGATAACAGCAACTACCGGAGGCTCTCTGAAAAACTAGGCTCAGAAGCCAGGTATGGTGCGGACTAAAGAGACATAAGCAGGTGGAGTTATGCTCTGCTGACTCAGGAACGAACTTGGCTGAGAGAAACCAACTTGGAATGCAGTCCTGGTGCTAAAACAGGAACAGAAAAGTCTCGCTGCTGAGGCTGGACCCTGCACCATTGGAAGCCGCGATTTGGGTTTCCCGCCGCGCAGTGGCTGGCTGCCTCTACATCGGCTCGGCAAGGAGAGAGACGCGCGGAAACTCTGAGAACCGGAGTCTGCAAACGGAGTCGAAAACAGGACGGGCAGGGAGGCATGTTCTGACTTGTGGCGAGGTGAGTGAGAGAAACTGACACTCCACCACAGTTTGACTCCAGTGGACTTTCTGGGCCCGAGCAGTCCTGCGGGAGCAGGGCGCGGTGGTGACTCCAGCGACACATCCCCCTCTCGGGCGGGATTGGTGAAAAGTGCCTGGCCTGCGTGACGCTGCCGGCGGACCCCGCAGGCTGGCCCAAACCAGATCCCAGAGCCTGACGGAGGCCGGGAGGGGCGGGCCCCCGCGTAGGCTGCCTGGTGCGCAGCGGTGAGTGGGAACACCTAACCGGCACAATTCGATCAGGCTGTGGCTGACAGGGAGAGAAGCTGGGCCTCTCATATAAGCTTGCATATATAAGGAACAGAGAATATGGGAAGAGGCAGCAACAAGAAAGGCTCCTCGGCCCCCAATTCTGAGAAACAGGCAATAGCGGACACCGCACCAATACACATAAAGCACCATATAGAGAGCCTCATAGACCAATTCAGGAATGAAGTTATCAACGACCTGAAGCTAGAAGTATGCAAAATAGTTAGAGAAATGCTAAGCACCACCCAAGAAAAAACAGATGGTGGAATGGAAGAACAGAAAAAGAGGGGAGAATTGTTTGATGGAGAAAACAGGGAAAGCATAGAATACGTGAAGCAGGTTCAAAGGGACTACCAAGAAACTAAGAAGTCTATCCA